ACAGAGAGAGCTCGCTAAACCACTCACGCCCAAAGGGCTGGTGGGAGTAGTCGTAGTACTAGTAGTAGTAGTAGTAGTAGTAGTAGTAGTAGTAGTAGTAGTAGTAGTAGTAGTAGTAGTAGTAGTAGTAGTAGTAGTAGTAGTAGTAGTAGTAGTAGTAGTAGTAGTAGTAGTCGTAGTAGTAGTAGTAGTAGTAGTAGTAGTAGTAGTAGTAGTAGTAGTAGTAGTAGTAGTAGTAGTAGTAGTAGTAGTAGTAGTAGTAGTAGTAGTAGTAGTAGTAGTAGTAGTAGTAGTAGTAGTTAGTAGTAGTAGTAGTAGTAGTATGTTAGTAGTCGTAGTAGTAGTAGTAGTAGTAGTAGTAGTAGTAGTAGTAGTAGTAGTAGTAGTAGTAGTAGTAGTAGTAGTAGTAGTAGTAGTAGTAGTAGTTAGTAGTAGTAGTAGTAGTAGTAGTAGTAGTAGTAGTAGTAGTAGTAGTAGTAGTAGTAGTAGTAGTAGTAGTAGTAGTGGTAGTAGTCGTGGTAGTAGCAGTAATAGGACTAGTAGTAGTAATAGAAGTAGTAGTCGTAGATGATGTGGTAGTAGTAGTAGTAGTAGTAGTAGTAGTAGTGAGTAGTCGTCGTCGTCGTCGTCGTCAGTAGTAGTAGTAGTAGTAGTAGTAGTAGTAGTAGTAGTAGTAGTAGTAGTAGTAGTAGTAGTAGTAGTAGTAGTAGTAGTAGTAGTAGTAGTAGTAGTAGTAAGTAGTAGTAGTAGTAGTAGTAGTAGTAGTAGTAGTAGTAGTAGTAGTAGTAGTAGTAGTAGTAGTAGTAGTAGATGTCTTTTGGGAGCCTCTTGGAGGCCTTTGGGGCGTCTTGGGGGCCGCTTGGCGGCCCCAGGGGCTTCTAGGAGCGTCTTGGGTGCCTTGGGGGAGCCTCTTCGGGCCTCTTGGGAGCCTCTTGGAGGCCGTTTGGGGCGTCTTGGGGGCCTCTTGGCGGCCCCAGGGGCTTCCAGGAGCGTCTTGGGTGCCTCGGGGGAGCCTCTTGGGGCCTCTTGGGGGCCTCTTGGGGGCATCTTGGGGGCCTCTTGGAGGCCTCTTGGGGCCTCTTGGGGCTCTTTGGGAGGGGTCTGGGAGGTATCTTGGGGCCATCTTTCGGGCGATCGATCACAGATGGGGCGGGTTTTTTCCCCCCCCCCCCCGTCGGGGCCAGAATCCTCGTGAGGGGTGTCGTTTTTTAGCCCTCCCAGGAGTCGAAAAAGACCCCTCCAACCACCCGCGAAAGGACCTCTCCAGGTCCAGGGGGAGGGGGTAGGGGGAGGGGTAAACCCCTCCCCGAAGGGGAAGAAGGGGGTTGAGAACAGAGAGGGCTCTCTAAACCACTCACGCCCAAAGGGCTGGTGGGATTTGGAGTTCTGGTTCTAGGGCCCTCCTGGGGCCGTCACGGGCTCTTCGGCGCGACTTGGGCCGTCTTGGGGCCGCCTTGGCACGTCTTGGGACCAGCTTCGGGGTCCCTGGGGCGATCTTGGGGCGATCTTGGGGGCTTGTAGGCTCGTCGTGAATGCTCAGAATCCCCAAAGTCGCACACGCCAGAAGTAGACGCTTTCCCATGGGAATGGGACGAGTTGTGACTTTCTGGGCCTTCCTGGAAGGTCTCTTGAAGCCCTCTTTGGGCGTCTTGGGAGCCTCATGGACCGTCTCAAGGCCATCTTGTGCGTCTTGGGGCGGTCTGTCGGCGACGTGGAGCCTTCTTGGACCCCTTTGGAGACTGTCTTGGAGATCTTTGGGGTCGTCTTGCGGCCCTTGGGATTTCTTGAAACCTTCGCGTCGGGGGGGGTCTGCGAGGGACCGCCGACAGAGCGGAGGCCCAGAGGAGGGACTTCAGGGGGATTTTTACCTAACAGCTTTTGCTGATAGGTTTCTAGTGGGGTCAAAAGAGAGCAGCAGATGACTCCACAGGGGGGTCGGGGCGGCATCCGGGGAGCTGTGTCCGAACTCGTGTCCGAATGCGCTTTTCGCTGTTAGGTTGCTTTGCCGGGATAATTACCGGGCCCCAGTCGAATCCTGCCAGGCACTTTGCAGAGTGGTCTCGCACGGCCCAACCCGCAGGGCGGGAGCGGCCGGATCGAGGACGCCGGCGGCGCATCACCGGCCGCTCCCTGGGAGTTTTTCGAAGAGGTGCGCAGCATCGAAAGTCGTGACGCGGCGCGTATGCCAGCTATCAAATAGCCGTCGCCCCATCCCGCCACCGTGCTTGGGTTTTGGGTCGGACGGAGTCCTCATGGACGCTTCCTGGGGTCTCTCGAGAGGGCTCTCGGAGGCTTCTGCGGGGCAGTTTAGGGGCCTCTTGGGGGCGTCCCAGGGGCTTCTTGGAGACCTCTTGAGGCCCTCTTGGGGCCTCTTGGGGCTCTCTTGGGGTTTGTTGGGGGCCTCCAGGGGGCCTCTTAGGGTCTCCTGGGGGCCTCTCGAGCCGAAAGCTCGACATGTTCATTCGGGTACCCCTTCTGGGCCTCCTCTTGGGGCCATCCTGGGACCCCTCTTGGGCCGTTCCGGGGGCCTCTTGGGCGGTCTTGGGGCCCTCTTGGGCCGTCTTGGGGCCGTCTTGGGGGCCTGTTGGGCCGTCCTGGGGCGATCTGGGGGGCCTCTTGGGCCGTCGTGGAGCGTGGGTAAGCCGAAATGGCGTGAACGTGTAAATCCTTCAAAAACCATTGAAAAATCCATGATTTTTGCTTTTCGGGGCTGTCTTGGGGGTGCTCTTGGAGCCCTCTTGGGCCGTCTTGGAGGCGTCTTGGGTCGTCTGGAGGCCATCTTAGGCGTCTTGGAGCGATCTGGAACCGTCTGGAGGCTCGCTTGGGCCGTCTTGGGGCTCTCTTGGCCCGTTTTAGGGCGCTCTTGAATCGCCCCCGGGCGCCGGAACTGTTCAGGGAGGGGGGGTCCGCCGGCAGAGTGGGGCCCCCTCGGAGGGACTTTCAGAAGGGCTTTGACCAGCCACTGGCGAAGGAAGGGGAAAGATAGTGCCGAACACTTTGTCAGAGAGGTCTCGCACGGCCCAACCCGCAGGGCGGGAGCGGCCGGATCTTCAGGGCTTCACCCTCTGCCGCCCCCCCCCCCCCCCTATTACTAGTGCGGGCGGCTGCGCGGGGGTCTCCTTGGGGCCTCTTGGGGTCTCCTCGGGGCCTCTTGGAGGGGCTTCTTGGGGGTCTCCCTGGGGCCTCTTGGTGGTCTCCTTGGGGCCTCTTGGAAACAATACTTTGGGTCTCTTGGGGGTCTCCTTGGGCCTCTTGGGGTCTCCTTGGGGGCCTCTTGTGGCCTCTCGGGACCTTCTTGGGGCCTCCTGGGGCCTTCTCGGGGCGGAAATGTAGAGTTTTCTGTTCGTGGGCTCCCTCTTGGGCCTCTCTTGGGACCGTCTTGGGGCCCTTTTGGGCCGTCTGGGGCGCCTCTTGGACCGTCTTGGCCCTTTTCGGCCGTCTTGGGGCCGTCTTGGGGGCCTCTTGGGCCGTCATGAGGGCTTCTAGGGCCGTCGTGGGGCGATCTTGGGAACCTCTTGGTCCATCTCCGAGCGTCGGAAAGCCAGAAAAGGCGAGAAGGCCAAAAATCTTGAAAAACGTTACGAGCATCGTCGATTTTTGCTTTGCTCTCTTGGGAGGCCTCTTGGAGGCCTCTTGGGCCGTCTTGGGAGCATCTTGGGCCGTCTTGGGGCCATCGTGGGACATCTTGGGGCCATCTTGGGCCGTCTTGGCCTCCTGAGGCTCCCTTCGGAGCCTCTTCGGGCAATCTTGGAGGCCTCTCGGGCCGTTCTGGCCGCGCGATGGCGTCACCATGAGAATCCTGTGGTGGCCCAGAGCAGCCTGGATTAGAGGTTCACACCCCCCGTTGGCTGTTTGGTGACGCGGCGGGGCCCCTTAACAGACAGTGAACAAGAGGCAGGAAACAGGACTGGAGAGAGAAAAGGCCAAACAACAAATGACAACACATAACACATAAGAGCAGACCGTGCATGTCTTCGCAGCCTTGCGCTCCCGGAGGGTGCCGGCGGACACACACAATATGTGTATATAACGATAGAAATAGACATATAAATGTATATATATATATATATGTATGTATCCGTATATACACAGACAGAGAGAGAGAGAAACATAAAGAAAGAGAGAGAGAGAGAGAGAGACAGCGAGAGGCAGAGAGAGAGAGAGAGAGTCAGGGAAAGAGAGGAAGAGAAAGAGAGAGAGAGAAAGAGGGAGAGAGGGAGAGAGGGAGAGAGGGGGAGAGGGAGGGAGCGAGGAAAGGAGACGGAAGGAAGGGCGGATCGGATAGGAGGGAAGGTGTGGTGAGGAACGGAGGAAGGGACTGAGGGCTGATGGGGGAACGTGGGGGAGCTTGAGCCAGGCCCATTGGAAGGTCCAGGAAATCAGAGTAAAGAGAGAGAGAGAGAGAGAGAGAGAGAGCGAGAGAGCGCGAGAGAGAGAGAGAGAGTGAGGGGCGAGGAGAAAAGGGAGGGAACGGAGGAGAGGAAGGGGAGGGAAGGCAGGAGGGAGGAGGGAGAGGTGGAAGGGGAGGAGGGATGGGGAGGAGGGAGGGAGGAGGGACGAGGGGAGGGCAGGAAGGGAAGGAATGTGGAGGGAAAGGGATCTGGGGAGGGGTGGGAGGAGGGAGGGTATGCTTAGGATGGACGGGGGAAGGTGGAGGTCGGTTAGGGGTGGGGGTGTTGCGGAAGGGACGTGGCAGTAGGGAGGAGGGAGGAGGAGTGGGATGGTGGAGGCAAGGGATGAAGGGATGCAGGGAGGGAGGGAATAGAGGGACCCCCCCCCCAACGTGCTCCTCCCCCCTTCTCCATCCCCTTCCCCCCTTCCCCTCTCCAGCCCCCCTCTCTCCCCCCCTCTCTGTTGTTCCTTCTTCTTCTTCCTCCTCCTCCTCCTCCTCCTCCTCCTCCTCCCCTGTCCTCTCCTCTCTTCCCCTCCCCCCACTCCCTCCGTCTCTCCCAGAGCGAATCCCTCGCCGCCTTCTGCCCCAGAGCCCCTCGCCGCTGAAGGCGTCGGGTGCACGACCACCACCACGACCACTTCGCCGCCTTTCCGGTGCTCCGAGAACGGCGCGCAGTCGGAGTCGTGGCCAAGCGAGAAGAAGGACATCGCCCGAGGAGGACAAGGGGCGATGAGGGAGGCGGGGGAGGAGTAGAAGGAGGAGGAAAAGAAGGAGGAGGAGGAGGACGAGGAGGATTAGGGGTGAGGAGGAGGAGGATGAGGAAAAGGAGGAGAAGTTGTTACTTCTTAGGCTCCTGTGCATGGCAGGAGAAGCAAGTGGCACTTTGCTGTTGCCAGAGTTACACTTTCGCACAACAGGCTTCTTGCCATGAAACTCAAGAGGTCGAGTCGGTTGAATGACATAGTCTTACAGCTTAAACATTGGAGCGCGTTCGCAGGATCCGTGGAACTTTCTGGGTCTGCCTACCGTTGCCATTGCCTGTCCAGGCTACTGCTTTGAGGATCATTAGGGTCCATGCGGATGATCGGCTCGACATTTGGCAACAAGGTTGCCTCAAACCCTTCGAGCCGTTGAGCACCGACACCTACCAGACACTCTTCGTCGAGTGCGAAGTCTGGGCGATGAAGAAACAACTGGGCTCCGATGCGAAGAGCACCGATGCATTGGACAGCGGCCGAGCTAAGAATGACGATGGTGGACAGTGGGGCACCAGTGGCGGCGACGCGGGTAATTGCGACGGGGCGTGCAACTCATGCCCCTGGAACACGGGAGATGCAGCTGAGAACGGCAGCGCGAACGACGTATGTGAAGGAACAGAAAACGGGTAAATGGCCCGCGTGATGCATGCGTGGGCGACGTGGGCACATGTCGAAGGATCGTGCCACCAAAGGAACCGATGAAAGGAAAAGGGGACGGAAAAGGATAATGCGCTGGTGCCGAGGGTTACCAAGAGGCGTTGACAAGCGGATACAAAAGGTGATATCAAAGCGCCGAGGGTTGTCTGGGAGGCTACAGCAAAGGTGGCTACATAGGGGGCTCGCAAGGAGGATATCGAGGGGGTCGAGCCCCGGGCAGGGAAGGAGGAGGTAGGGGGGTTTTGTGCCGATCAGTGAGAGGGGGTGTTGCGCGTGCGGCGAAAAGCGTCACGTTGCAGCCCGCTATCCCAAGGCCGCCAACGACGTCACCCCTGGTCAGTGGGGGCGTGGGGGGCAGGGGGGCTGGGAAAGCTTGCGCAGCTGTTGGGGCAACTTTCGCCAGGACCGGGAACCGTCGAGATGGGCGACGTTACCGACAAAAGTTGAGTCGCCGATGGACCCAAACCATCGGGGGGCAGCCGACGGGGCGCAGTAGGGGCGCAGCGCCAGGCGATGAAGAGGTGGTATCGGGAGGCGAGGCTAGGGATCAAGTGGAAGTGTGTCTCAAACGGGTGCTGCGCTAATTGCAGCAGTCGCACCAGTTGGGGCAGCCGGGTGTTGGAGTGCACCAAGGAAGAGCGGTTGGATGCAGGAATCAGCCGCAGCAGAGCAAGTGGAGATGGAGGGGCCCAACAAGGAAGTCAATGACGTACCCGTGAGGGGTGAGTAAAGCGCGAGTGGACACAAATGTGGCTGCCGCGGTTTCAGGCGCCCACTGCAGCGCGGCGAATGGGCCAGTCATCACGAAGCATGGGTAGCGGATTGTTGCGGAGAGCAAACAAAATGGGCCCATTGTGAGCATGCCCATTTCAGTTGCTTGTTTGTCAGAGGTACACTAGCGCTGCGTCGCACGCGGATGCTGTGGTGTAGACAGGCGCTGTGGTGTGCGCAGGCGCTGCAGTGCACGCAAGCACTGTGGTGTACACAAGCGCTGTGTTGCACACGGCTGATGTGGTGTACGCAGGCGCTGTGGTGTACACGCGCGCTGAGGTGCACGCGACCATTGTGGTGTACACAAGCGCTGAGGGGCAAATCGCCACCTACATGCTGCTCGCGTCGTCGTCGGCGTCGTCGCTCGTCGCTTGCCGCTCGTCGCACATCGTCGTCGTGCGCGCGGGCGCGGCTGTGGTGCTGGAGCCACACGGCGGGGGGGGGAGCGTTACGTCATACCCCTTCCCCGCCCCTCCAATCCCGATGACGCCCTTCATGGCCGAATCTACAGAAACGCGCTCATATCTCCTCCCCCGTCTCCAGGACGACGCGATATCGTCCCCCTCCCCCTCTTTTGCGACCGCCCCCGCCCCCCACCCCCCCCTCTCGCTGCGCCAGGATTGGTGTTGCCTCCACGAGGCGCGCGGATGCCCCGCCTACAATTGCAGCACCGACCAGGCCGCCGGCGCCAGCGCCTGGCGGGGGGGATGGGAATATAGGGGGAGGGGTGGTGGAGGAGGAAGAGGAGGAGCATGACGACGATGACGATGGTCTTGGTGGTGGTGGCGATGATGCTGATGATGATGATGATGATGATGATGATGATGATGATGATGATGATGATGAGGATGATGATGATGATGATGATGCTGATGCTGATGCTGATGATGATGATGATGATGACGATGATGATGATGATGATGAGGATGATGATGATGATATTGGTGGTGGTGGCAACGATGATGATGATGATGATGATGATGATGATGATGATGATGATGGTGCTGGTGCTGGTGCTGGTGCTGATGCTGCTGGTGATGCTGGCGACGGTGGCGATGATGATGGTGATGATTCTGATGATGGTGGTGGTGATGATGCTGCTGATGGTGATGGCGATGGTCATGATGGTGATTATGATTATAATTCCGATGATGATGATGACAATGGTGATGATGATGATGATGATGATGATGATGATGCTGATGATGCTGATGATGATGGGTCTTATCTGGTGATGATTATTATGAGGATTTCAATGATAATGATGCTGATCTGATGATGAAGATGCTGATGCTGATTATGGTGCTGATAGTGATGATGGTTGTGATGATGATGATGCTGATAATGTTGCTGATGATGTTGATACTTATGACTATGATCATGACTATGACGATGGCGACGATGACGATGACGACGATGATGATGCTGATGCAGACGATGAAGATGATTATGATGCTGATGCTGATGATGATGCTGATGATGATGATGATGATGCTAGTGCTGCTGATGATGCTGATGATGATGATGAGGATGGTGCTGCTGATGCTGCTGCTGATGCTGATGCTGTTGTTGATGATGATGATGCTAAAACTAATGAGGCTGAGGCTGATGCTGATGCTGATGCTGATTCTGCTACGGATGGTGATGAAGATAATGCTGGTGCTGGTGCTGGTGCTGATGCTGCTGGTGATGCTGACGACGGTGACAGTAATGATGATGGTGGTGGTTCTGATGATGGTGGGGGTGATGGTGATGTTGGTGATGGTGATGGTGCTGGTCGTGAGGATGATTGCGACTACGATGGCGACGAGGATGATGCTGATGATGCTGCTGCTGATGATGATGCTGAATGAGATGATGACTGTGATGCTGATTCTGATGATGACGCCACTGTTCAGATGATGATGACGGTGCTGCTAATGATGATGATGCTGATCTGATGCTGCGGATGCTGACCCTGATTCTGATGATGATGGTTATGATGATGATGGTGATGCTGTTGATTATGATGGTGATGATGATGGTACTGATGTTGATGCTGATGCTGATTATGATGATGTGAGTACGCCTACGTCGATTATGATGACGATGCCGACGATGACGCCGATGCTGGTGATGATGATGAGGATGATGATGATGCTGATGCTGATGCTGGTGATGATGCTGATGCTGTTGATGATGATGCTTATGCTGATGCTGATGCTGCTGATGATGCAGATGATGCTGCTGATGCTGAGGTTGATGCTGATGTTGATTATGATGGTGATACTGGTGCTGCTGCTGTTGCTGATGACGATGGTGATGCTGCTGATGACGATGGTGATGAAGATGATGAGGCTGATGCTAATGATGAGTATGCTGATGCTGCTGCTGATGATGATGCTGATGATGATGCTGGTGATGATGGTGGGGCAAGAGGAAGAGGGGGGATGAGGCGGGTGAGGGGGGTGACCAGGTGGATGAGACGGAGGAGAAGGAGCAGGTTGGAGAGGGCGAGCAGGAGGAGTAGGATGAGGAGGAAGAACTTTAAGGATGAGGATACGAGCAATGGGGATGAGGATGAGGGGGCGGAGGAGGTGCATGAGGAGGAGGAGGAGGAGCAGGAGGAGGGCGAGGACTATGGCTGTCGTTTCTTTCCTGGGGTGGGCTGCGAACAGCGACGCCGTTGCCACTCTCGAGGGCTACTGGGTGGTCCAGCGGAGTGACGTCATATGCAGGCTCCGACTCGACTTCACCATCCTTTGGGGGGCTGCGATCTGCGAAACTGCCGCCACTTTGAAGGGCTGAAGAGGGGGGTGGGGGGGGGATGACAATATAGGGCAGCATCCGCGACGAGGGTTTAGAACGCAGGATTGCGCATATATGATAATGAAGAGCGAACACATAAGATTTAAATTCAGTATGTGGGGTTCCTCGGTAGCGTAATTGTTGTCCGCGTGACCCCCTGTCTTCATCTTCCTCTGGTCCGCCATGCCACCCCGCGCGGCTATTGAAACATCGCATGGCGCTGTTCTTTCCCGCGTATGTAGCGCTCGGCGCCGTTACTGTTGCTGAGCATGTGTGTCCCTCCTTCGCATCCTTGTGTATGATTATGTAACCGTCTCTCCTGCCTGTGTCTTTGCGTACCTCTGATGGCTCGTGCGCGCTGCGGGTCCTTGGACAGGTTTGCTTGCAGTGGCCGGTCCCGTACACATATACATATAACGGCGCACCGGGTCCGGGGGCCCGGGGCCGGGACCCCGACCACAAATGTGGGCTCCGGGGGGCCTGGAGGCTCGTCGGACCGCCGGACGCCGTCCAAGATCGTTCGCAGGCGGCTTCGGAACGCGCTCCGATGGCTCCAGATGCCTTCCAAGACGCCTGTCATGACACCAAGAAGGTCCCAGAAGCCTCCAAGACGCTCCGAGAGGCAGCCCAAGAGAGGCCCAAGAAGCAAAAATCGTGCCATTCCTATGGGAAAACGTATATTTTTCGCATGTTCGCCTCTTGGGCTTTCACCGCGTCCAAGACGGCCCAAGAGGCGCCCAAGACGGTCTACGAGGCCTCCGGGAGCGCTCCAAGGCTGCGCACGAGTGGCCCAGGACGGCCCCAAGACGGCCGAAGAGAGCCCCAAGACGAGTTCGAGAGGGGTCCCAGACGGAGAAAGCCAACCTCGAATTCCGAGCTTCCGGCCCAAGAGGCTCCAGGAGGCGCCAAAATGCCGCCAAGAGGTGCCAAAAGGCTCCTAAAAGCACCCCAAGACGTTCCGAGAGGCACCCCAAGAGAGGTCCAAGAAACACAAATCGTGCCTATCCTATGAGAAAACGTATATTTTTCGCATGTTCGCATCTTGGGCTTTCACCGCGTCCAAGACGGCCCAAGAGGCCTCCAAGACGGCCTAGGAGGCCTCCGGGAGCGCTCCAAGGCTGCGCACGAGTGGCTCAGGACGGCCCCAAGACGGCCCAAGAGAACCCCAAGACGACTTCGAGAGGGGTCCCAGAAGGAGAAAGCCACTCTCGAATTCCGAGCTTCCGGCCCAACACATCACAGGAGGCGCCAAAACGCCGCCCAGAGGCGCCAAAAGGCTTCCAAAATCAGCCCAAGACGTTCCGAGAGGCACCCCAAGAGAGGTCCAAGAAGCAAAAATGGTCCCATTTCTATGGGACAGCGTATACCTTTCGCATGGTCGCCTGTTGGGTTTTCACCGCGTCCAACACGTCCGAAGAGGCTCCCAAGACGGCCTAGGTGGCCCCCAAGAGAGTTCCAAGACGGTTCACGAGGCGCCCAGGACGGCAAAATTGGACTCCAAAATGGCCTAAGAGAGCCCCAAGGCGTGCCCGAGAGGGGTCCCAGAGGGAGAAAGCCACTGTAGAATTCCGAGCTTTCGGCCCCAAGAGGCTCCAGGAGGCGCCAAGAGAGCTCCAAGAAGCCCCCACGAGAGACCCAGGACGCCCCAAGAGGCTCCAAAGGCGGCCCAAGAGAGCCCCAAGATGGGCCCGAGAGGGGCTCCACGCAAGTTGTTATTGTATCGCTCGGGAAAGGACGAGGATGAGGAGGAAGACGAGGAGGAGGAGGAGGAGGAGGAGGAGGAGGATTCCTGGGTCTGTGACTCGACAGAACCTAAGCGCGCGCGAAGCGCGCGCGTGGTTCTGGTATACGTGTGTATATATATATATATGTATATACATGCCGTGCGTTAAGAAACGATCGGGTACGCCATTGAACAGTTGATACACTTTTCTCTCTCTCTCTCTCTCTGTATCTCTCTCTCTCTCTCTCCCCCCTTCTCTCTCTCTCTCCCTCCCTCTCTCTCTATCAGCATGTTTCGTTTCTCATTCTTTGAGACATGTGTTCATGTATGTGTATAGTTATACATGTCTCTCTCATTCTCTCTGTCTCTCTCTGTCTTGTCTACCTCTCTCTCTATCCCTCCCGGTGGAGGAGGAGGATGAGGAACAGGAGGATGGGGGAGGAGGAGGAAAACGAGGACAAGGACCAGGACGAAGACGAGGAGGACGAAGAGGACGAGGAGGAGGAGGACGAAGAGGACAAAGACACATCTACTTAACGGGAAGGACGAGGAGGACGACGAGGACGAGGGGGACGAAGGGGACGAGGAGGACGAGGAAAAGGACGAGGATGACGAAGAGGACGAGGAGGACCAGGAGGACGACTAGGACGAAAAGGAAGAGGAGGAGGAGGAGGAGGAGGAGGAGGAGGAGGAGGAGGAGGAGGAGGGGAGGAAGGAGGAGGACGGGGAGGACGGGGAGGAGGAGGACGAGGAGAGGAGGACGGGACAAGAGACGACGAGGAGGAGGAGGAGGAGGAGGAGGAGGAGGAGGAGGAGGAGGAGGAGGAGGAGGAGAGGAGGAGAGAGGAGGAGGAGGAGGAGGCGGAGGGGATGACGAGGAGAAAGAGGAGGAGGAGGACGAGGACGAGGACGAGGACGAAACGAGGAGGAGGAGAGGAGGAGGAGGAGGAGGAGGAGGAGGAGGAGGAGGAGGAGGAGGAAGAAAGGAAGCAGAGGGGGAACAGGAGGAGGAGGAGGAGGAGGAGGAGGAGGAGGAGGAGGAAGAGGATGAAGAGGAGGAGGCTGAGGAGGCTGAGGCGGAGGAGGAGGAGGAGGAGGAGGAGGAGGATGAGGAGAGAGGAGGAGGAGAATGAGGAGGAGGAGGAGGAGGAGAGGAGGAAGAAGGAGG